TTAGATTTTTCTAGGTCTGAAAAGGATATATTGAGGTCGCACTGCTTTGATTTTACTAGCTATTTCTCCCTGTAAATCATCCAGGTTTTCCTTTAAACATTTGGGTGCTATGTCATTAATTTCATTTTATGTTAAGTATTGAAGATGATTTATTGTCTATGGTACCTTTTAGCAAAATACAGTCTCTCTCTTTTGATTAAGTCTATTTTTGCTATTTCCTTGTCTGAAATAATGATCACTACCCCTGCTTTTTTGAGTTCAGCTGAAGCATAATAGGTTTTGCTCCAACCCCTTATTTTAGTGTTGTGTGTATCTTTGTGTGCAAGTGTTTTTCACCAATAGCACTGTTGGTTTCTGCTTTCAAATCCATTGGCTTTCCATTTCCATTTCATAGTCACGGTGTTGACTCATTGACGTCTGTCCATCTCATTCTTTTACGCTTTTTCCTTTTGCTCTCCACCCCCTCTTCATTTTGTTCCTTCATACACACATACACACGCACACACACCTTTTTTTTTCTTTTTACGCTCCTCTTCACGATCCTACCCTCTGGGCTTAAAGTTTGTTTTAGTTATGACTAATCCTTACATGAATCTACCTTTCCTGTTAGTTCCTCCATTAGTCTCTCTGTGCTCCCTTCTGTTTCCTTGTTGAGTTGAATAATCTATTTCTACACCAAAATTGTTATGTGTATATTTAATATTCTGCCTTCTTTTGAACAGTTGAGATAAAAGTGAGGTTCAGGTAATGCCCACATTGGTATAGATTTCTGGTTGCACACTTCATTTCTCCTCTAATTTTTTTAACCTAATATACATTTTTTCTTCCTTTTTCTTCTTTCAGGATCTTCAAAACATAACCAAACTCCTTACAGGCCCTCTTATAAGATTCCTTCTATGAGCCCTAATTTTGATGGGGTTCTGAAGGGGCATACGTATCATCTCTCCATATCGGAATGTAAACGGTTCATTTTTTAGTCCCCCTTCAGTGTGATTGCTCATTCATATTTACTTTTTTATAGTTATCTCGAGTCCTCTGTATTTCAAAGTTTCTGTTCAGTTCTGGGCTTTTCTTCAAGAATTCTTGAAAGTCCTTTATTTCATTGAAGGTCTTTTTTTTTTCCAACTGTTGGATTATACCCAGTTCTGCTTAGTTAAGTTATTCATGATTGCAAGCCTTTATCCTTTGCTGTTTGGAAGAGAGAGGAAGAAAGGGAGGGAGGGAGGGAGGAGAGGAAAGGAAAGGGAAAAGGTAGAGAAGGGGAAGAGAGGGGAAAGTCCTGGAGAGCAGAGGGATTGGGTGGAGCAGAGTTGTTTTCAAGTATTTGGAGAGGGATTCATGCAGTGAATAGAGTGCTGGGCCTGGAGTCAAAAAAGACCTGAGTTCAATTGTAGCCTCTAACACTTACTAGCTGTGTGACCCTGGGCAGGCCTGGTTGCCTCAGTTTCCTTGTTTGTAAAATGGGGATAATAACAGCGCCTGACTCACAGGGTTGTGAGGGTCAAATGAGATCATTGCAAAGAGTGTAGGCACAGTGCCTGGCATGGAGTATGGGCTTTATCAGTGTCAGGTATAATTACCATTGTTATTATTCTCAGTAGCTCCAGAAAGCTGAAGCAGGAGCAGATGCAGAAGCCACAGAGACCAATGCAGGCTTTGAGGAAAAGCTTCCTGAGCAGGAGAAGTCACCCAGGAGAGGGGGCTGCCTGGGGAGGCTGTGGGCAGCCCCTCCTGGGAGATGACCCTGTGTGGGCAGGGGTAGAGGCCACAGGGCGACTCCCACTCCCCAGTCTGTGATGCTGTCATTCACTGCCCACCTGCTGTGCTGTTCTGAAAAAGTTTCTATTAACTGTGAGGAAGGAGTAAGTGGTGCTTCTTCTTAGCGTCTCTGTCCCTGTAAATGCCTTCTGAACTGTCGGTGTGACTGCTCGTTTCATCATATGAAGCGTGAAGGCGCAGCATCTGCTGCCCAGGCTGGTTCTCTGCTCTTCCACACACATTGTTGTAGAGGAAGGCCTTGGTTTCCTTTCAGCACCACCATCTGCTGAATAAAGTCAATTAGTGAACATTTAGTAAGCACCTATTGTGTGCTAGGTCGTGCCCTACTGTGATCCCATTTGGGGTTTTCTTGGCAAAGATACTAGAGTGGTTTGCTATTTCCTCCTGCCCTTCAAATACTCTCTCTACTAAATTTTATTTAATAATAAACCTAACAACGAGTTACTCTAATGGAGTAGCTAGGTGGATAGAGAGCACTGGGCCTGAAGTCAGGAAGACCTGAGTTCAAATCTGGCCTCAGACACTTACTAACTGTGTGACCCTGGGCAGGTCACTTCACCCTGTTTGCCTCAGTTTCCTCATCTGTAAAATGATCTGGAGAAGAAAATGGCAAACCACTCCAGTATCTTTGCCAAGAAAACCCCAAATGAGGTCACAAAGACCCTATTAAAAAACAGTTCAACAACAACAAAAGTGTCTGAGAGAAGGCACTAAGATTGAGAAGGACTAGGAAAAGCTTCTTGCTGAAGATAGAACCTTAGCTGAGACCTGCAGGCAGTCAGGGAAACCAGGGAGCACAGGTGAGGAGAGAGGTCCAGCATGGGGCCAGCCCTTAAAAATGCCCGGAGTGTGTTTTAGAAGAAGAGCCATGAGGCTAGGGTCACTGTCACAAAGTGTGGCCAGGGAAGTAAGGTGTAAGGACACTAGAAAGGTAGGAAGGGGCCAGGTTATGAAGGGCTTTGAACGCCAAACCAAGAATTTTGTGTTTGATCCCAGAGGTGACAGAGAGCCACTGTAGCTTACTGGATAGAGGGGTAGCATGGTCACTCCTGCTCTTCAGGAAAATTACTTTGGAGGGAGGAGCGGGGAGACACTTGAGGCAGGCAGACCCTCCACCAGCTGGTGCAGTCGTCAGAAGTGAGGTGATGGGAGGGTCTGCACCTGGGTGGGGGCAGGGTCAGGAGAGAAGAGGACATATGTGAGAAACGTTACAAAGCTCACAGCTTACAGGACGTCAGATAATTCATACTGGAGAGAAACCATATGAATGCAATGAATGTGGGAAGGCCTTCCGTCCAAGTGCTGGGCTTAGTCGACATCAGACGATTCATACTGGAGAAACCACTGGACTTGACAACTGATTGGTTGGGCAGGGTGAGAGTGCGTGGTGGAGGATGACGCTTGGGTTGTAAACCCGGGGGACTAGGAGGACGACGGCCCCCTCAGCAGTAATAGGCAAGTTGAGACAAGGGGAGGGTTTGGTGTGCGAACTGTCCAGTTCTGCCCTTAATGCTATTTGTAACTTTGGGCACGGTATTTAACTGCCTAGCTTCAATTTCCTTATCTGTAAGGCGAGGGATTTGGATTATATCAGAGGTTCTTAACCCGAACTTTAAAAAAAATAGTTTGATAAATGTATATCTATCTACTTGGTTTCCTTGTGATTTTATATATCTTACTTTATGCATTTAGACACATTCTAAGAAGTGATCCATAAGTTTCAGTAGATTACCAGAGGGGTCCATGACATACAAAAAAGCTAAGAACCCCTGGACTAGGTAATCTCTAAATTATCTTCTAGCCCCAACAATCTGTGAATCAGCCTGTCTAGTTCAGATTGTCAGAACATACAGTCTTTCTGTTGAGCCAATGGTGGCCTCTGTGTTTTCCATCTGCTTGTCTTGGGTCTTGCCTTTAGAATTGCTCCAAGCAGGCACACTCTTGTTTGTAGAGAAGCGCTCCGGGCTGGTGGGAAAGGCGTTGGAGTTGGACCACAAAACCTTGTGCCACAATTCAACTTGGATGCTGATTAGCAGTGTGTTCCGAAGCAGGTCCCTAAGTCAGTCTGAACCTCAGTTTCCTCTTTTGGGAACATCCTAGCTGACTTGCCTTCTTCGTGTTATAGCTAAGGAAACTGAGTCTCAGGGAAGTTCCATTATTCACCCATAATCCCACAGCTAGTATCAGAAGGAGGATTTGAACACAGTTCTTCCTGGTGAAACCACCAGCACTCAAGAATTGCTTAAGTTTCTTGCACACCACAGAGCTAGGTAGGGCTGTTTCTAGGGCTGTCACCAAGCCCACCCCAGCAAGATATACTTGGCCATCACGTAGTAATGGTGACAACAATAATACATATTTGTGTAGGCCTTGAAGGATTGTGAAGAACTTTCCTTATTCCTACAGAGCTAAGGTTATTTTTGCCAAGAACATTCCTTGATAGAGTAAAATCTGTGTGTGTAGCAGGCGATACAGAGGATATTTACTCTGTTTCTTTCTTTCAGTTTGGGAAACTAGACTTGAAACTAAGGAATCAGCTTCACATCTGAGACCTCTGACACAAGAATCATCTCAGGAAAGACTTGAAAGGGATAATCCCTGTGCTTTCAACTGGGAAGAAGCCTGGGAATGTGGTGCTCATTTGGGGAGGCAGCAGGACAGTGAGAAGAATGTCCCTAAATATGATATGCATAGAGAGAGCAAGTATAATGAGTGTGGGAAACCCTTCAATTATATATCAGACCTCATGGAGTATAAGCCAGTTCATGTTGGAGAGAAATGTTATGAGTATGAGGAATATGGAAAGGCCTTCTCCAGGAACTCACAGTTTATTGAACATAAAAAAGTTCATACTGGAGAGAAGCTTTGCAAATGTAAAATCTGTGGGAAGGCCTTCTGCCAGTGCTCAAAGCTTGATCAGCATCAGATGATTCATACTAGAGAGAAAGCTTACGTAAGCAATGACTATGAGAAAGGCTTACACCAGAGATCAGCACTTATTCAACATCAAACTATTCATTCTGGAGAGAAACCTTATGAATACAATGAATCTGGGAAAATCTTCAGCTCAAGATTTATAGGACATCAACGAATTCATACTGGCGAGAAGCCTTATGAATGTATTGACTGTGGAAAGACTTTCCATCATAGAACAGGACTTATTGAACATCAGAGAATTCATAGTGGGGAGAGAGCTTATGAATGTTATGAATGTGGGAAAGCCTTCTGCCAGAAACCAGGACTTATTCAGCATCAGAGAATTCATACTGGAGAAAAGCCTTATGAGTGTAAGGAATGTGGAAAGGCCTTCTGTAGGAATTCACAGCTTACTGAACATAAGAGAATCCATACTGGAGAGAAACCTTATGAATGCAGTAAATGTGGAAAGGTCTTCCGACAGCGCTCAAAGCTTACTAGACATCAGATAATTCATACCAGAGAGAAAATTTACATATGTAGTGACTGTGGGAAAGCCTTCCACCAAAGCTCAGCCCTTATTCAACATCAGACAATTCATACTGGAGAAAAACCTTATGAATGTAATGAATGTGGGAAGGCCTTTAGCCTGAGCACACGATTATTCATACATCAGCGAATTCATACTGGAGAGAAACCTTATGAATGTATGAACTGTGGGAAGGCCTTCCATCATAGAACAGGACTTACTGAACATCAGAGAATTCATACTGGAGAGAGAGCTTATGAATGTTATGAATGTGGGAAAGCCTTCTGTCAGAGAGCAGGACTTACTCAGCATCAGAGAATTCATACCAGAGAGAAACCTTATGAATGTAAGGAATGTGGGAAGACTTTTTGCCAGAGAATAGGACTTACTCAACATGAGAGAATTCATACTGGAGAAAAACCTTATGAATGTAATGAATGTGGGAAGGCCTTCCGAGTGAGAACACAGCTTACTCAACATCAGATTATTCATACTGGAGAGAAACCTTATGAATGTAATGAATGTGGGAAGACTTTCTGTCAGAGCTCACAGCTTACAAGACATCAGATAATTCATACTGGAGAGAAACCATATGAATGCAATGAATGTGGGAAGGCCTTTCGCCGAAGTGCTGGGCTTAGTCGACATCAGACAATTCATACTGGAGAAAAGCCTTTTGAATGTAAAGAATGTGGGAAGGCCTTTAGGCTTAGCACAGCACTTACAGAACATCAGAGAATTCATACTGGAGAGAAACCTTTTGAATGTAACGAATGTGGAAAAGCCTTCCGCTTGAGCATAGGACTTACTGAGCATCAGAGAAATCATACAGGAGAGAAACCATATGAATGCATTGAATGTGGGAAGGCCTTTAGCCAGAGTACACAGCTTAATCGACATCAGAGAATTCATACTGGAGAGAAACCATATGAATGTGCTGAATGTGGGAAGGCCTTTGGTCAAAGGTCGCATCTTACTCAACATCAGACAGTTCATACTGGAGAGAAGCCTTATGAATGTAATGAATGTGGAAAAGCCTTTAGCCGAAGTACAGGTCTTACTGGACACCTGAGAATTCATACTGGAGAGAAACCTTATGAATGCAATGAATGTGGGAAGACCTTCCGCCTAAAGACAGGACTTGCTGAACACCAGAGAATTCACACTGGAGAGAAACCTTATCAGTGTAATGAATGTGGAAATAACTTTCGCCTGAGCAAACAGCTTACTCAGCATTACAGAATTCATACTGGAGAGATACCTTATGAAGGTAAAGCCTTGTGAATGTAAAATTCTCAACCTGAGTACCAACTTTGTCAAAAATTAGTTATTTCAAACCAGAGAGAAGTCCTGTAGAGGAAGTAAATTCCGGTTAATTTTCCACAGAAGCAGTTCCAAACCATTTCTTTCTCTTCTGAAATCCCAGACCACCCACTTTTCCCAACCACTCTATTGCAGGTGACTTAGACTCTCAATATACTTTTTAAAAATTGTCGTAATCTGACAGGAGCTCGCCCCCTTTTGTCTTAGTCATGGAGAAAACGTTCACCGATTGACCGAAGTGGGCTTTGCCAAAGAGAACTGCATTTGTTCATTAGAGACGAAGCAGAGGAGACACACAGGATGACAAGGGGCAGTCTGAAGACATGAAATTGCAGAGAGGAGGACACTCACAATACACGGCTCCTTGACGAAGCTATTTCCTTTTATTGCTCCCTAGATCTTATCTCTCTCCCTCATATTCCATATCCAGTCAGTCTCAGATCTTGTCAATTCTACCTTCATAACATGTTGAGCACTGTTCTCTTCCACTCGCCTCATTGGGCCACCTAGTTCCAGGCCTCCCCTTTTGTCAGCAAGCCCCTTGGAATAACCTTTCGGTTGGTCTCCGTTTCCCTTACCTCCATGTACCAGTCTGTGCACTACAAATTGAACTGTCAGAATGGCCCCTTAGAGCAGAAGCCTGATCCTGTGACTTCCTGTTCCTTCCTGGGTGAAATGATAACTTCTCTTTGGGTGCACTTCAAGCTCCTGGTATTCTAAAACCCTCCTATCTTTCCAGATTAACTTCACATTTGTTCCCTTTACATCCTCTATGTATTCCAACCAGATTGGCCATCTTTCTCTTCCGTGAAGATGGCATCGCATCCCCTTCCTTTGTGCCTTTAGTACAAGCTGTGTCCCCTGTGCCTGGAACGTTCTCCCTCTTCAGCCTCTTAGAATCTGTAGCTCTCATTGAGGCTCAGCTCAAACTCTGTCTTCTATATTTATTAGGCCTTTCTTGGTTATCTCAGTATTGTTTCCTGATGATTCCAGGTTTCCATGCCCTGTGCCAAATACCTCCCCCCCAGTCCCAATCGTTTTGTTCATATTTTGTACTTGTGTGCATATTGCATCTCTTAAGTAGAAGTGAATTGAATTGTATTGGAACAATAAACCTTTCTAAGACTAAGATCCATTCTCTTATAAATAAAAGCACTGCACTACAAGGCAGTTCTTTAAATTCTGTCCACCACCTAAAAGACTGATTAATCACCATAGATTAAAACAGCAGTAGATAGGACAGACTGCCCAACATAATCTTGACAAAGTTGAAATCTAAAAACAGATTGGAGAGAACTAGCCACATTGTTATACCATGAGCGCAGAACAGTGTGTCATTACCCAATAAGAGCTGCATTAACCACTATCTAATGTCCTCCACCCGTGAAGTCCTCCTTGTCCTCTGTTTCTGTCCTCACCACTGGGCTGCCCCCAGGGCTGCTGGAGAAAGTCACACAACTGTGTCAAGCGGGTCCCTTACAAGCGTGTGTTCTCTGATCTCAGCTCTGTCTTCACTGGTGTCTGCTTGCCCTTTTATTTGTCCCAGACTGATCCACATCTGGCCTTCTAGCCCATGCTTCTTCTCCACCACTCACCCCAGCTCAGCTGCAAATCTTGCCTGCTCCTTTACCGTGAAAAAAGGCTGGAAGCCGTGTATTGTGAGTGTCCTCCTCTCTGCAGTTTCATGTCTTCAGACTGCCCCTTGTCATCCTGTGTGTCTCCTCTGCTTCGTCTCTAATGAACAAATGCAGTTCTCTTTGGCAAAGCCCACTTCGGTCAATCGGTGAACGTTTTTAAGCACCTACTATGTGCCAGGCACTGTGCTGAGTGCGGGGATACAAAAAAGAGGCAAGACAAGCCGTGTCGTCAAGGAGCTTACACTCTAATGAGGGAGACAACTTGATAGGAAGCAGGCTATATACAGGTTAAATAGGAAATAATTAACAGAGAGAAGACCCTGGAATTAAGGGGGGTTGGTTTGTTTTTGTTTTTTTAGGCAGTTGGGGTTAAGTGACTTGCCCAGGGTCACACAGCTAGTAAATGTCAAGTGTTGGGTCTGAGGCCAGATTTGAACTCAGGTCCTCCTGACTTCAGGGCCAGTGCTCTATCCACTGCGCCACCTCACTGCCCCTCAGATATCATCTGAGCAGGAGTGAAACACTTTCCTGACTCTTCAGAGAATGAATTAAGGGGGGTTACGAGCCGTTTATCTTACCCCTTCCAATCTCTTCAGGGAATTTGCTGCTTTGAGGATCCCTTATTTCTTCCCTTGTTTTTCTTATCTCCTGGCTTCTTTTACCCTGCTATCTCCAAACAATCCTAGGTCTCATCCCTCCTTAAGAAAGCCTTACTTGAGGGGCAGCTAGGTGGCGCAGTGGATAAAGTTCTATCTACACGAGGGGTTAAGAATTCTATTTTAGGCTTCTTAAGTTTGAGGTGTTTAAGGGGCAGCTAGGTGCAGCAGTGGATAGAGTTCCAGCTTTAGAGTCAGGAGGACCTGAGTTCAAATCCGGCCCTAAACACTTGACACTTAGTAGCTGTGTGACCCTGGGCAAGTCACTTAACCCCGATTGCCTCACCAAAAAAGCTTAAAAAAAAAGAAAAGAAAAAAGAAAGCCTTACTTGAACCAGCCGTCCCTGTAGCTATCACCCTATATCTTTCTTACTTTTTGTAGCCAAACTCCTAGGAAGATATGCCTATACTCATCGCCTCCACTTCCTTTCCTCCCACTCATTTCTCAGCTTCCTTGTAACTCCTCGCTTTTGATCCTTCCATGGCCCTGAAATTTCCTTCTTCAGGGTTACCTACCAATGATGGTGCTATAATATTAATGGTGATGGTAACCACTGGCCTTTATATACCATTTCAAAGTTCATCAGTCATCTCATTTGACCCTCACAACCATCCTGAGAAGTAGATTATTATAGGCACCCCCATCTTACAGAAGAGGAAACTGAGACTCAAAGCGCTTAATGCCTGGCCCAGGGATACATAGTCAAATGTCGCAAGCTCCCTCATGGCTCTCTTGGCCTCTAGTTCAATTCATCCTCCACACAGCTGCCAAAATTTTCATAGTGTGCAGATCGGACCATAATGGCCCCTGCTCAAGAATCTTGAGTGGTTGGTTCCCAGTTGCCTCCAAGATAAATCATAAAGTCTCAGCCTAACTTTTAAACCCTTTCACAGTCTAACAACAGCTGACTTCAGACTTACTTCCCATTTGCGTTGGAAGGTTTAGAGGATTACGTGGAAGCAGGAGAGGTTATCAGCCTTCCCTCCATTTTTCCCAGTATTTATTAACAAATGTTTTGAATTTGTGGCCAGTTTGCAGCCCCAGAATAAAGATGAAATATGGTCTATGCAGAAACTGACATAACTGAGGCCATAGGCAGTGGAATGAAATACAGGATCCAGTGGGCTGACCTTTAGTCTTGTGGTGGGATAGGAGAAAGGCTCCTAATTAGGGTTCTGGATGCTTACAACCAAGGGAATGTTTTGTGTGGCATTGGGGTCGCTAGCATAGGCGTGTTCCTGATCTTACCAAGGTAAGTGTCAACAGTTGAGGTGTACATCCAAGCAGAAAGCATGAGTCCAAAGATGATAATGATAGTAGTAATAATAATAATTAACATGTAGTGTTCTAGGTTGGCAAGGTGCTCTTCAGATGTTATCTCATGTGATCCTCACAGCATCCCTGGAAGGAAGATACTGTTATTATCTCCATTTTATAATGAGGAAAATTAGGAATGGAGATTAAGTGACTTGCCCAGGGACACACAATTAGTAAGTGACTGAGGCAGGAGTTGCACTCAAGTCTTTTTGATTCCAAGTCCTACATTATCTACTCTACCACCATTGTGTCCTCTGTAAATTGGATGAATATATCTTCTGTCCCTTTGTCCGTATCACTGATAAAACTGTTAATGCAGGGCCAAGGACAGGTCCACCATAGACTTCCTGCCATGTCGACACTGAACCATTAGCACCCATTCTTTTAGTCCTATCGTCTAACCAGTTCTGATTTGTTTGATTGTATCATCACCTAATCCATGTTTCTCTCATCTTCTCTACTAGAATAGTGTGATATAATTTATCAAAAACTTTGCTAGCATCTAGGTAAGCTTTTTGCACACACATCATTCTCTTCATCTCCTAGTTTGGTCATCCTGTCAAAAGGGAAATAAAGTTACTGTCACGTGCTTTTTTTTTAATGTAGCCACATTGGCTTCCCTTTCTAAATACTTGCCAAATATCTCTTTTAAAATCCTGGCTTCTAGTTGGCAGACTCTGTCCTCTTCCCGTCTTTGAAAATAAATAACACAGCAGCTCATCTCTCAGTCTTTCGGTCCCTCCTTGTTCTTGGTGGTGTTTCAGCCGCCACAGATAGTGGCTCCGTGGTACCATCTTCCACCTTAGCACCCCATTAGTATCAGCTCTTCACCAGTTATGGTACTTGTGTCATTCCTGTTTAAAGTTCATTCTTGTTGGTAGAGAAAAAAGACAAAAGAGGAGTTCACAGCTCTCCCTTCTTACTGCTGGCAGTTATTGTAATCCTCTCCTGTTTCAGGCAGAGGTCTAGCCCCTTATTCGTTCTCTCTTTTCTCCCAATAAAGCTTTTCGGAGAAGAATCCAAACCCTTTTTGTTGTCTTTTGTATCCCTCCCTAGCCTCAACTCATTCTGGACCATAGCATTCGTGACACCAACTGTTCTACAGTCTTAACATTCATCATCGCTTACCTGGCCTTACTTCCATCTTCTGTATGTTTCTTTGTGAATTTCATGTTGGTTGGAATTCCATCCTTCAGCTGACTTCCTCTTAGTTCTTTTACTCTATAGAGTCTCCTGTTGTTTCTCTGAACCCATTAAAATCTGTTTTTGCCCATCCTAAAGTACATATCAGACTATGCCCAGTTTTCTTCTCGATCATAAATTCTAGGATGGAGTG